ATAATTTACACACAAAGAAATTTATTTTATTCCACAGATAAAAATTTATTGTTTCATATAGGAATGTGCCATAGAGAAACATAAAAGTAATTATAATAAGCAATTATAATTTGAGCGTTTACATTTTTTTTTTTTTTAATTAACAATGTGCGTTCTTTCTATCTCAAGGGATACCCAGGGTTTTCCTTACAAGTTTTTGAGCTATCCTCTCAAATTCACTGCGATCTTCCCTCCACATTTTGGCAGCATCAACGTTAGCACCACTCTCGTCGTTTGGTTCCGCTAGCATACTTACTACACTCAACAATATCTTCTCGACACTCTGTACTGGCTCCACCTTTCTTTCTGCGCTGCTTTCATAGCCCATTGGGTCAATCGCCAGGTGCATGTAATATGCTTATGCAGACTCTTCCATCGCATAAACTTTTGAGAAAAAGATATAATTTCATAGATGGTTAACATCTTAACATTATTGTACATTTAAGGCTTATGGGTCCTCGCTGCGGCCATATTAGTACGTCAGAGAAAGCATACGTTGAAAATTCTTAAATGCTATTTTTAAATAAAAAAATATGAAATACTATTTCAGAGGTATTTTAAGAGTGTGCTAAAGTCATCTAAAATGCTGTTTCATTGAAATATCGTTTTATTTCGAAATAGCATCTAGAATTTTTAGCATGTTTTCCCGCTTCTGACGTCACAATTCCAACATAGTCGGCGAGGAGCTAGAAGCTTTAATAATTGAAATCCATTTCAGCTTATACGTTTAATATTTTTTTGTGCAACCGGCGCGCGAAAAGTCGCCCTTTCCGCACATGATGGGATTTTAGAAAGGGCTCCCTTTCCACGCACAAAATATCGTAGCCAACATGTGCGGGTCATAAATCGGCCGATCGTCGTGCGGATTGTCACACTCGGCTTTGCCTCGTGCGCCAAACTTCCGCACTCTCGGCCGATCCCCCCCGCACTTGTTAGCTAATATACTATAGAACGATTTTAATGTCAGTTAATCATAAATTGAATAATATATACAGGGTGTTCCTAAGTCCGATTTGGGCTCTTTATCTTTACAGTTTGACTTGCCTTGCTTAAATTTAAAAAAATGCATTTATTTTGTCTTTGCATAAAAATAAAGTTTTTTATACACACATATTTTCTTTTTATTAATGTAGTAAAAAACTTCACAAACATTTTTAACAATCTTAACCATTTATAGTATCTACAAGGTGTCTAATCAAATCTTGTATACAAATTTTTTTGATCTTCCAAGTGTTTTTGTTTGAAATTCCAGGTAAAAAATTGTAAGTAGAACTTTTAAAATAAGTTTCTTTATTGTATGCACTTTCTAATTTTCTATTCATACAATAACAATAATGCTATCAAGAATATTTTTGTAGCATTTAATGTTGATTATTAATTATAAAATTATTTTGGACAATATATATATAGTATAACAAAATGTAAATATATAAAAATATATAATACAAAAATATATATGCGAAAATATAAAACAAAAATTAATAACTGAACAATTTGCTATGAAACTTATATAAGACCTTGATATTAAAGAGATCGTCAATAAAAAATATCACATTTTAATACAAACTTAAATATTGCAAAGATATATTAGACATATGTTTCCTAAGTGGTACTAAAAATATTTAATACGAGGCCTTCAAAAAAATTAATCTAAAGTTTTTTAAAAAACTAAACACAGCCTGTTTATAGTTTAATAATAAGAATGCATTTTTTTATTCTAAAAAACAATAGTTAAACATATATGATTGCTAATTTGACCAATCAGTGAATATTATCGACCGTTTACAATAAAAGAGAAAAAATTATTAAAGATATTTTTTCGAAAAAAATTATCTGAATGAGTCTCGATTAAAAATGAGTCTTGATTAAATGCCATGAAATTCGTGAATTTTTCAAAATATAAAATAACTCCGATTTTCCTTAGAGTAGACACCCTGTATCCAAACCCCAAACCCCTCCCCCAACGATTTACTTTTCAAATCTTTATTTTTTTATAGAAAAAGATGTCAAATGAGATTTTGCATATAGAACACTGCAACGAGTTACACACACACCTTATTTATGTAAAAAGAACACTCAGTTTTAATTTTTTATCAAAATTTAGTGAAATGGATCAAATTAAGCATATAATAAGCATCATAATTTTAATAGCGCAGTAACTTACTATTAGGATGAAACATTTCACAGGTGAATTGCATCTTTGGTGGACTTAGTGGATAATCCGGTGGAAATATTAATTTCGCTGGAAACACTCCACCTTCAAAGCATGTTCCTTCTGGTCCACTAAAAAACATTTAGCTACATTAAAACACACTTCAATAAAGAATGTATTGGAAAGATTATATAAAAATGCTCGTACAACACGCGCATAACACATAATTTTCATATTAATTATATTTTGATATTTTATTTAAAATCTTAGACTCTGCGCACAATAGAAATAAAAATAGGAAATATTAAACATATTACAAATAATAAATATTAGGAGTAATATATAATTAGAAATTATTTTATTCCAAAACAAAGAACTAAATTAATATTATGCATTAAGAATAAGTAATAAGAAATAAAAATGACAGAATATTAAATATATAACATGAAATCTATATGTTTAGATATTATATTAAGAATAAAAATATTAACATAATAAGATATATTATAACTTGACGATCCTTCGGCGTGACATGTTGACTATTTCTCGTACTTTCAATCGTTTGACTTTTTATATAAATTTATAGTTTAATAATTATGGACAGTATTACTAATATGAAGATTTAATTTAATGATATATATTTGTTCGCTTGAAAAGGACCACAACCACATGATTGAAACGTAGTGAGTTTAATAAACAAAATATACGCTAGTTTGGTCGATTATTTCTACTATCCTATTCTAATAACTAGTAACAAGGATTAAAAATTTGGGAATTATTAACAAAATAACAATATAGAATAACGTAAGCATGAATATAAAAAATTATTTTTTATAAAAAATTTTATATATATATATATATATATATACAGGGTGTCCCATAATTCGCGAACCACCGCGAATGGGCAGATAGAGCGTGTTAAACTGAATAGAAAAGTCCTGTATCATTTTGCGATATTCGCAATAATTATTGAGTTATTTATTAAAATATCTAAACGAATAAGCAGGTAGAAAGCATTATTTGATCGAGAGGCGGCGTCATGCAGCGAGCGGTGACCAATGTAGTGGCGCCGAAAAGTAAGATGATACTAAGCGACATATAACAAATAAGTCATCCGACATGCACAACCAAGTCCGGCCTACCGCTTTCTACCCGCTCATTCGTTTAGATATTTTAGTTAATAACTCAATAATTACTGCGAATATCGCAAAATGATACAGGACTTTTCTATTCAGTTTAACACGCTCTATCTGCCCATTCGCGGTGGTTCGCGAATTATGGGACACCTATATATATATATATTATTTATAAATATTATTATAATTTTTACAAAATGCACTTTCCAAAAAAAATTTTTTTTTCATGAAAAAAATGTTTAAAAATATTACTTTTATAAAAAATTAAACAATTTTTAAATAAACGACTAAAAGTTTTTTCAATTTTTTTTATAAAGACTATCGTAATGCAAAATGTTAAAAAATTTAAATAAATATCTGAAGGTTATTAATAATGCTCTGGAGTTCTAAATTTTCTTTCTAAATTAAGAAATGGAAAATTTTTTCTAAAAGATTATTATATAATTTTTCTAATATTATTCTGATACAAAAACTCATAGAAAAAACTTTGTTTTATGAAAAAAATTTTTTTTCAGATTCCTAATTCCTTTGCTAATATGTTCAGAATGTTTTAAAACATCGAAAAATATTTTTTTTTAATATTCGTGTGCTGTGTTTGTGCCCACCACTTTTCTGAAAATTTAAATATCTCAAGAACTATTCGATTTACAGTTTTCAAATTTAACATACAAGTAAAATAGTACAACACTTTTATTTATTGTCATTTTTGTTTTAAATCTTCATGCAATTTTAATTTTTCCAAAAATGTCTGTGGTTGCTCTAACTTCTGTAAATTTTAAAATCTCAAAATAAATTTTTTACATGAATAAACTATCATTAAAAGATGCTATTGAATTTTATAAAGATCAGTGAAAGGATTCACTTTTATAAGATTTTGAATTTTTTGAGAAAACAACTGTAGTTGCTGTAACTTCTGTAAATTTTAAGATATTATGATAAATATATATGAATAGAGTATCATTGAGGGATATTTGGTATTAAATTTAGCAAGGATCGGTAAAAAAATTCATTTTTTTTTTTAATTTAAAATTTTCAAACTTTACGAAAGAAACGTACGAGAGTGAGCACACATACATATACATGACATTTGTAAAAATATTATTTTATGTAAAAAAGTATGCAAATTGAAAACTTGCACATTGCTTTCTCATCCTATTTCGCTCATTAGATTTTCTCTATAAGGAAGCTAAAATTAAAAGGCAAGGAAACTTAATGAGCAAAATAGATTAAATGTGTAAGTTTACAATTTGCACACTTTTTCTTGGTTATGATTGTAACAATTTCTATATTTAATATTTTCAGTATTATGAAAGTGAAGGACTTTCTTATTAATTTGGCTAAAACTTCTCAATTTTGTGTATTTTGGCGCATAAAACATGTATCTATAAATTAAAATTGTAGCTCTAAATTAGAAAAAAAATTATTAAATACTAAAATTAACAGTTACATGTTACATGATTAGAATATCTACCATATCAACATCATGTAAATGCAATATTCAATATACCAACTATTCTCTGCTTTAACCAAAACCATAAATTTTTTTTGATAAATATGTAGTTTTGTAAAAACACACTAAATATGCTGTAGTATATTGAATTAAATGGTTAAAAATATTGAAATAAAGTTTATGCTTTTTAAAGCAGAGATAACTGATATATTAAAAAGTACTTAATCATTTTTTTATAGTTTTAACTAAATTGGTAAGGAAACCCCTCCTTCATAATTGCCACACTTTCTTCTTTTTCATTTAATTTCTATTTCTCATTCCTATTCCTAATATTTTTCCTATGGTGCAAAGCCTTAAAATAGAGAAAACTAAAAATTTCAGGTTAGAAAATATGTATATATATGCACAAAATAATACAGTAGTAGTCAACGATAGTAGATGACCACAATTTTTGGATTAACAAAAATCCGACCAGAGGAAAAAACTTACGTGATGAGAGCCTCCCATTCGAAGAAGTTCTCCTCGTTAATCGGGCCGGCGATGATGCCCTCCGGTGGATTCAAGGTTAGCTCTGCAAGTTCGTCGCAATAACGCGGACATTATTGCTCGGCGGGAAAAAATGTGTCGCAATGGCGGGAAAGCCTCCATTACGTACGGTGTCATTAACAATGCGAACTAAATGTTTACTGCGGTGTGACTAAAAGAAGACTAAAAAGCTGATCCTCACGTTTGTACTCAGCCATCAGTCGTCTGAGAGCCGAACCCGCCATCGTTCTTAACGACGACGCGTAGCTGATCCGCCTCGACTTTGTAGAAACGTCAAATCAACGAAGGGCTTCGAAGGGCCCCTCTCTCTTTCTCTTTCTCTCCGTCGAGGCCCCTCGCGAAACTCGAGGTTTGTTCTTTGTAGCTGCACTAGAACTGGTGAGTTCAATATAGAATTTTATACCACAAACGTATAAAGGTGCCTTTTCACGAGCCGCTAAAACCTATTGTTTGAGCGACAAAATGATCACGGTACTTATTACGGTTCTTGGGTGAGTTTGCTCACGAGGTGAAAATCACAAAAGTGAGAGATTCACTAGGTTGTCTACGCTTCTATTGGTCAAAATCTAGTGAATCTCTCACTTTGTGATTTTCATCTCGTGAGCAAACTCACCCAAATAACCGTAATAGGTACCCACGTAACAACTTTTGTCGCTGAATTAAACAGCGATCATTTTTGTACATGAAAAGAATAGACAGCGCGACATAATTGAAAGTTAAGCGTTTAAGCAGTAAATGCTTTGTAGTTGAACTGATTCAAACTACAAAATTGTTGATGCTGGATTATGCAGCGACGGATTAACACTAGAGGCAAACATAGGCATTTGCCTAGGTCGGCAAATTGGAGGGGGCGGCAAATTTTCGAAGACAAAAAATGAAAAAAGAAATAAAAATAAAAAAGTAAAAAAAAGTAAAAAAAATAAAGAAAGTAAAAAAAGAGTGTAAAATCCTATCTGCAAACCTCCTCGTGGTGCACTCTGGGGTCGTGAAAATATTTAAAAATATATTACGTTTTCACCATCTAATGTAGGGGTAACAGAAAATTGTTGATATTTTGTACTAAATCTTTTATTTTTTTTTTTTTGCTTTTAGGGGCGGCAAAATGTACGCTGCCTAGGGACAGCAAAATGTTTAATCCGTCGCTGGGATTATGAGCGACAAATCTGTCGCTTCAATCACTTGTTTTAGCGGCACATGAAATTGCACCTTAAAGCGGAGTTTACAATGGCAGCAGGAGTACAGAGTACAAGAGTAAGCAGTAAGCAGTACGAATTAGGATTGACTCATGCTGTTACTCCCGACAAAATGAGCGAATCCCATTTCGTACTGCTTATTGCTTCTTGTACCACAGATTAATAGACAGATCGCCAAAGGCCTGTCTAAAGAGAAGGCCGTCATTTTTGCCGCTTACCGACACACTTTGCCTCTGGTTCAAGTTCAGACTAATAAAATCCTTTAATTTTACCAGAAAAATTTGCCTCTAGTGCGAGTTCAGGCTAAAATCTTTTTATTTTACACGTATACTCAAAGGATTTTAGCCTGAACTCGCACTAGAGGCAAATTTTTCTGGGAAAATTAAAGGATTTTATTAGCCTGGACTCGAACCAGGGACAAAGTGTGTCGGTAAGGGGCAAAAATGACGGTCTCCTCTTTAGACAGGCTTTTGGCGATCTGTTTATTAATCTGTGCTTGTACTCTATACTCCTGCTGTCATTGTAAACCCTGCTTTAAGGTACAATGGAGTGTCGTAGGCTGTAGTCGTAAGAAATCGACAAACCACAGTCGATTATTTCAAAAATAATCAATTGTGATAGCTCAATTTCTTAAGCTAAAAAAGTAAAACTTTTCTCTCGACCGTACTGGCAAATATTATTTATTAAATCACAACGTTTCGACCCTGCTTTAAATCCTTATCAAGTGATTTGTGAAAATAAAAATAAAATTATAATTTTATTTTTATTTTCACAAATCACTTGATAAGGACTTAAAGAAGGGTCGAAACGTTGTGATTTAATAAATAATATTTGCCAGTACGGTCGAGAGAAGAGTTTTACTTTTTTAAATTGTGTCTGGCGATTCTCAAATATCTACGTTTTTATTTTCTTAAGCTAAGTCTACATTGGTCGTAGAATCGTAAATTGTAAGAAAAATTGATCTAATCACAGTCGATTATTCTCCTCACATTCAACTATGATTAGATCAATTTTCTTACTATCTACGATTCTACGACCAATGTAGACCCGGCTTTACGACTACCACCTACGATACTCTATTGTAGAACGGCCTTAATAGGTACCTGGGTTCTGGGGGTCGATTGTGTAATTTTTTCTAAAGTGAAAATGTGAAAAGTGAAAAATTTCTTCCAATCACACATCGATTTCATTTTAAAATCAATGCGTGATTGGTGGAAATTTTTCACTTTTCACGTTTTCACTTTAGAAAAAGTTACACAATCGACCCCCTGGGTACCTATTACGGTTCTTTGAGTGAGTTTGCTCACGAAGTGAAAATCCTTAGAACATATAGTATGTTCTAAGTGAAAATCACAAAAGTGAGAGATTCACTAGATTGTCTACGCTCCTATTGGTCGAAATCTAGTGAATCTCTCACTTTTGTGATTTTTACTTCGTGAGCAAACTCAGGGTGCGATTACATGGACGCGCGGAAACGCGGAAACGCGGAAACGCGGAAGAAAAAGTAACTAAACTTTACTAGAGTCCCGCATTTCCGCGCGTTCCGTTCCGTCTGTTTTGATTGCCTTATATTACATGGAGCACATTTTGAGCGGAAAAGCGGAACGGTATAGTGACAAATAGACATTTGTATTAATTTTTTAAATTTATATTTACTTAATTCATTGTAATTCCTTTTAATATGTTCATCTTTTCAACTTATCTATTGAATACAAGCATTTTAATCAATAAATATAGTTAAATATTAATATTTTATAATTCCCCGTTCCGCTTTTCCGCTCAAAATGTGCTCCATGTAATATAAGGCCAGAGAGAAAGATGAGAGCGGCCAAGCCGGCGTTTTGGCTGTTACCGTTTTTACGGGACTGCTTGAAGCGCCCCTCGCACCCGTTTTTAATATCGGAACTAACTGCACACCCATTTTCTGGCAGGGTCGATAAAGTTTGTATTTGGTGCGAGTCCGTGCTACGCCCATAATTTTCGTGTTAACACAGTATCACGTATTCATTCTGTATATGTGCGATCTTTTCTCTTTATTTATATATATATATATATATATATATATATATTATTTATAATTTGTATAAAAACTAAAATATAATTATTAAATATATATATATATGTATATGTGTAATGAAATATATAAATCTTATTTTAATTAAAATAAAAAGAACGATTAATTGTTCGACCACCTGGATTTTGGAATGTAATTTTTAATATATATTATATTATATTTAATATTTATCGCCGCTTCTATTAATATGAAGTGCAATGTCAACGTGCAATAATGTACAATTATTTAAAGTTTCTATGCCTAATGTATCATGCCGGTATAAAAGAAACGTCAAGTAGCATGCGTAGCCGAGCAACTAAGATGACGAGCTGAAATCGTGGACATTTCAAGTTCAAACCCCTGCCTTTTTCAGATTTTTTTTTCACTTTTTTCAAATAAGTTATTATGTGTATAAATGTGTAATAATCAATATATCATTATTTGATAATTTTTTTTGTAATGGAACAAAATAAATTATTTTTTAATTCTGCAAGGAATTTAATTATTAATGCAAACGCCCACACACATAATTTAGATATTCAATTTTTTTTAGTTCAAATGTTTCTTGCAATCTGTATACGACAATCAGTCCACTCGCTGTGCCACAGATTGCATCGCATAATACGCTCAGAGTTATAATACGATAGAGATCGCTTTACGCTGTTTTTCCTTGAAATAAATAAATTTTACGTGTTGTGTACGCGTGTTTAGTATATTTGTTTCTTTCATATTAATTTTAACTATAATTAGTTTTTTAATTAAGATTATTTTAGTGTTAGTTGTTTATTTGTTAGTGTCCTGTTTTCTTTAATTTCGCATTTTTTAATTTTCTTTTTTTTTTGGTGTTGGTGCTAATTATTATTTTTATTTTACAATGTCGAGTAAACACCGGTTTTACGATAAATGTGTGTATTTAAATTGCACAAATATTAGGACAAAAGATGGAAAACGTTTATTTCGATTTCCATTACAAACGGGTGCGAGACATGATTTATGGTTACGCAATAGTGGTGAGTTTATAAAATTGATTTACTTATTTATATCAATATATAATATATATTGACATGATATATGAAACAAATATATATATATATTCTTTGTTTTTTTCAATAAAATATGTCAGATATTATGTATGTTTACGTATGGATTACGTTGAAGTGTTTCTTTGCCGCGTTTTTCTGATCTCGCCGAACGGTTCGCGAATCCTGTGCGAATAAAAAACGATGCGCGTGTGTGTGTGCGTGCGATTGTGATGATCAGTTTCAGTTCGTCTTCAACGCTTGACGAGAGAAGAGGTCCCGAACTGCTGTAAGTTTATAAAAACATATTTTTGTATAACACATTAGAACGATTTTATATTATTTTTTTGTCTAGAAAACGTTATATTAATAACCGTTATGAAAACGATCTCGACGACGGCGACGATGCCGGTGACGACCGTCGTCGAGATCGTTTTTATAACGGTTATTAATATAACGTTTTCTAGACAAAAAAAATAATATAAAATCGTTCTAATGTGTTATACAAAAATATGTTTTTATAAACTTACAGCAGTTCGGGACCTCTTCTCTCGTCAAGCGTTGAAGACGAACTGAAACTGATCATCACAATCGCACGCACACACACACGCGCATCGTTTTTTATTCGCACAGGATTCGCGAACCGTTCGGCGAGATCAAGAGACACGGTAGTGTCTCGCGACCAGTTAAGGGCGTAGCGGAGACACCGTGTATCTTAACGCGAGTCGGACATTTGAGTCTTTATAATATTTCGAATCCTCAATAATGGCTGAAGCAATCGAGTTTATACTAGACTTAATCGATAGATTGAGTTCGAATTATATAATAAAAGTGTCTTTATTTCTGCTCTACGTGATTTGTAAGCAGAGATATATAAATGCAAAGTCGAAATATGAAAAATTTCTATTAAGAAACGTCCCCGTCATCATTATCATCATTATCATCATTATCATCATCATTATCATCATCGACCACGCATACATAGTAGTATCGTGCTACACGTATTCACACGTATACAACACATGCGCACACATATATCACACGTACACAACACATGCAAGATGCATGTAGTGGTAATTTTGTCCATCTCGCACGTTTTACAACAGATGGCGATAGTGGCGCTCCGCCATATCGGCAGCGTGCGGGGTTATGTTGGCTAACTCTCTCTCTCTCTCTCTCTCTCTCTCTCTCTCTCTCTCTCTCTCACTCACACACACACACACACACACACTCTCTCATTCTCACTCACTCACTCACTGTTCGTCTTGTGTACTTATTTAGTACATTCATGATCGGCAGCGTGCGGGGTTATGTTGGCTAACTCTCTCTCTCTCTCTCTCTCTCTCTCTCTCTCTTTCTTTCTCACACACACACGCACACACACACACACTCTCTCATTCTCACTCACTCACTCACTGTTCGTCTTGTGTACTTATTTAGTACATTCATGATTAAACATCTATATGCATTAATGTGAAATTTACTTACAATTAGTTTACTTGAAATATTCAATCTCTAAAGTGTTTATCTTATAAGATAGACAAAAAAATCTGAGTAAATAATAAGAAAAAAAAACAAGGATTATTATTGTCATAATTTTTTATCAATTAAGTACTCTCAACTATCCAATAATTAAATAAATACGTACAAATGTGCGCGCGTGTACACACATACACATATTGATATTAAAGAGATTGAAGGAGAGGAAGGAGAAGATAAAAATTTAAATATTCACATATATTTTCAAATATTATATATGAATTTATAGTTTACATATCTAATTAATAATGAATTTCTAATTATATTAAACATATCAAAATAAAGACATACATGTATTTATCAAATGAATAAAATTATTGAATACAGACTTAAAAAATTTATTAAACATAGACTTAAAAAATTAATTAATTAAACATATTCCAAATTTAGAAAAAATAAACTTTATTTATATATGCAACAGCTTTTTAAACTAAATTTTTAAATTCTATTTTATATTAGACAATTATCTCAATCAACATCTACGTCCACATTAGCTGCACTGCAGACTACCTCTACAGCCACATTATCTGCTCCGCGGATATAGCGTTATGCCAATACGATACATTACATGTACTTACTTACTTGCCTTTACTGTACCAACTCTTGTTCTTTCCACGTAATCATGTTTTTACAGTTATCGTTTGCTGTATATCTTCCAGCAAACTTTATTTCGTGTGAAGTGTATTTAATTAATTAAATCTCTGCGAAAGATTGAGAAGATGAAGGGATAATTCAAACTATGAAGACATGGTTACATGGAAAAGACAAGAGTTGATACAATAATAAAGACATACATGTATTTGTATCCTGCTGGCATAAGGTTATAGAAGTTGATTGAGATTGAAAAATAATAATGAAAATAATAAAAAAAATAAAGACACATGTATTTGTATCGTGCTGGCATAAAGTTATAAAAGTTGATTGAGATTGAAAAATAATAATAAAAATAATTAAAAAAAGGAAATATTCAATCATCATTTAAAAGCATATTTGAAATCTGTAGAATAAACAGTTTTTGCAAAAAATGTGGAGCATTTGAGCTCTAGTAAGTCTAAAAATAAATGTAAACATCAATTAATAATAACTGATGTTATATATATATTATATATATAAACCAATTTGTTGCAATATTCACTATAAAAGGTTGTAAGGGTAAGATGGCTAAAAGTGAATAATTTAAAAGATAGTTAACATAATTTTACATAAACTGAAATATTTCATAAAATAAAATATTTGTAATATTTCGAAGTTTATGTAAGATTATGTAAAAATTATACCTTTACAACTTTTTATAGTAAATATTGCGAGGAATCGATTTATATGAGAAAAATTAAGGTAATTCTATTTTGAAAATATAAGTGACCTTTAAATAACCTTGAAAATCGCCGTTTAGGAAAAAGTCTGTGTCAACTTTTTCTTTTTCGAAATCCTGCAACTTTTATCTAAATTTAATAGAAAATGTATAAAAAATGCTCGACATTAGTACACACACACACACACACACACACATATGGGTAAATTTATATAAATAGGGTGCTTTAGGAGGAATGATCAGGATTCTAGGATATGATTGTACACATCATTTTAAGCAAAGAAGTTTAGATAAACATGTTTAATAATTGTTCTATTCCGGTCATAAAAATATACAAAAATGAATGATATAATCTCTAAAAACTCACCTTTAAAAAAAGGTAAAAAAAGGCGACCAGTTAAGGGCACGCCATTAACAAAAATTATCCATTGCAAACCCATGTAGAATCCTATCCTATTGCAAACCCATGTAGAATCCTATGAAAAATTAATCATTGCAAACCCATGTAGAATCCTAGGCAAAATTAACCATTGCAAACCCATGTAGAATCGTACCCATTGCAAACCTATGTAGAATCCTATGAAAAATTAACCATTGCAAACTCATGTAGAATCCTATGAAAAATTAACCATTGCAAACCCATGTAGAATTGTATTAAAAATTATCCATTGCAAACTTATGTAGAATCCTACATTGCAAACCCATGTACAATAGAATTGTATGAAAAATTATCGATTATAAACCCATGTACAATCGTAACAAAAGTAATGAAATAAAAAAAAAATTGCGCCAAGTGAAAGTAGAAACTTGTACCAGTGGAAAATTAAAGTTGCAGACATATATAGAGTCGTATAATGAATCAGTAAAAATTTAAATTTGCAAATGTAGAATCGTACCATAAAAAAACTTATCTTTTAAAAAAAAAGATAAACAAGATGCCAAGTCCATGCGCCATGTGAAAAAGAAATAAAAAAATTTTAGTTAAAAAAACTGGGCGCGCTGCTAAGTTTCAAAATTACAATGCACCTTAAAGTAACATTAATTAATTTAAACACAAAACATATTTTAACTGTAATGAGTTTAAAAGTAACAATTTAATTTTAATATTGTTAGAATATTATTTAGCAGCGCGCCCAGTTTTTTTAACTAAAATTTTTTTATTTCTTTTTCACATGGCGCATGGACTTGGCATCTTGTTTATCTTTTTTTTTAAAAGATAAGTTTTTTTATGGTACGATTCTACATTTGCAAATTTAAATTTTTACTGATTCATTATACGACTCTATATATGTCTGCAACTTTAATTTTCCACTGGTACAAGTTTCTACTTTCACTTGGCGCAATTTTTTTTTATTTCATTACTTTTGTTACGATTGTACATGGGTTTATAATCGATAATTTTTCATACAATTCTATTGTACATGGGTTTGCAATGTAGGATTCTACATAAGTTTGCAATGGATAATTTTTAATACAATTCTACATGGGTTTGCAATGGTTAATTTTTCATAGGATTCTACATGAGTTTGCAATGGTTAATTTTTCATAGGATTCTACATAGGTTTGCAATGGGTACGATTCTACATGGGTTTGCAATGGTTAATTTTGCCTAGGATTCTACATGGGTTTGCAATGATTAATTTTTCATAGGATTCTACATGGGTTTGCAATAGGATAGGATTCTACATGGGTTTGCAATGGATAATTTTTGTTAATGGCGTGCCCTTAACTGGTCGCCTTTTTTTACCTTTTTTTAAAGGTGAGTTTTTAGAGATTATCAGAAAAACGCGGCAAAGAAACACTTCAACGTAATCCATACGTAAACATACATAATATCTGACATATTTTAAAAAAAACAAAGAATATATATATATATTTGTTTCATATATCATATCAATATATATTATATATTGATATAAATAAGTAAATCAATTTTATAAACTCACCACTATTGCGTAACCATAAATCATGTCTCGCACCCGTTTGTAATGGAAATCGAAATAAACGTTTTCCATCTTTTGTCCTAATATTTGTGCAATTTAAATACACACATTTATCGTAAAACCGGTGTTTACTCGACATTGTAAAATAAAAATAATAATTAGCACCAACACCAAAAAAAAAAGAAAATTAAAAAATGCGAAATTAAAGAAAACAGGACACTAACAAATAAACAACTAACACTAAAATAATCTTAATTAAAAAACTAATTATAGTTAAAATTAATATGAAAGAAACAAATATACTAAACACGCGTACACAACACGTAAAATTTATTTATTTCAAGGAAAAACAGCGTAAAGCGATCTCTATCGTATTATAACTCTGAGCGTATTATGCGATGCAATCTGTGGCACAGCGAGTGGACTGATTGTCGTATACAGATTGCAAGAAACATTTGAACTAAAAAAAATTGAATATCTAAATTATGTGTGTGGGCGTTTGCATTAATAATTAAATTCCTTGCAGAATTAAAAAATAATTTATTTTGTTCCATTACAAAAAAAATTATCAAATAATGATATATTGATTATTACACATTTATACACATAATAACTTATTTGAAAAAAGTGAAAAAAAATCTGAAAAAGGCAGGGGTTTGAACTTGAAATGTCCACGATTTCAGCTCGTCATCTTAGTTGCTCGGCTACGCATGCTACTTGACGTTCTTTTATACCGGCATGATACATTAGGCATGAAAACTTTAAATAATTGTACATTATTGCACGTTGACATTGCACTTCATATTAATAGAAGCGGCGATAAATATTAAATATAATATAATATATATTAAAAATTACATTCCAAAATCCAGGTGGTCGAACAATTAATCGTTCTTTTTATTTTAATTAAAATAAGATTTATATATTTCATTACACATATACATATATATATATATTTTAATAATTATATTTTAGTTTTTATACAAATTATATAAATACATATATATATATATATATATAAATAAAGAGAAAAGATCGCACATATACAGAATGAATACGTGATACTGTGTTAACACGAAAATTATGGGCGTAGCACGGACTCGCACCAAATACAAACTTTATCGACCCTACCAGAAAATGGGTGTGCAGTTAGTTCCGATATTAAAAACGGGTGCGAGGGGCGCTTCAAGCAGTCCCGTAAAAACGGTAACAGCCAAAACGCCGGCCTGGCCGCTCTCATCTTTCTCTCTGGTAATAGCTACTCTGAAATATATATGTCGTGTGTGTGTGTGTGGGTATGTGGTGTGTGTGGGTGTGTGGGTGTGTGTATGTGTGTGGGGGTGTGTGTGTGTGTGGTGTGTGTGTGTGTGGGGAGGGGGTGTGCGCGCGCGCGTGAGTGTATGTACATATATGCGCATATACACACGTTACGTAGTATTATAAAACAGTATGACATATGCATTAATTTATATTATTTGACAAGTTTTAGCTTCGTCGATTAATTTTGGAAGAGAAAAAAACTACGTAAATTGCGAATATATATACATATATATAAGGAAATCTTTTGCTTAACAATTTTGGACATGTATTTTTATGCATATAACCTGTAAGAGAGAGGAAATCGAAGAGATGTATCGGAAAAGCGGAGAGAGAAAGGGATATTAGCACCACTCTTGTGTTAAGGTGGGCCGTATTCGGGATGGTCTTGCAGAAAGTTGGCTGCAATTTTGTCAAAGGTTTTCGACATGTACGCATTAGAACAAGCGAGTCTCGTGGCAACAGGAGCTTCCAACGATCATATACGGCTTTACCACGGCTTACGCCACAAGAGGTACCTTAATAAGTCGAATTAACATTTTTTTTAATTATATAAATCTCCAACTAGCAAATTAACGTCATAAATGTCAAAATGACGTCATTTGACATTTAATAACATTTTGACGCCTAATAACGTCATTCAACGTCAGAATGATGTATGTTTGTTGTATTTGGGTCTTATAATGATAATTAAATATAATAAAAGATAATTGAAATAAAATGTCAAAGCAAAGCTGTTCTCGTTTTTTCACAAAGGGTACACTTTTAGTTGCATCTTTAAAAGTAATGGCTTAAATTTATGATAAAACTTGTATATACATTACATATGTATATATAACTTTAATTGTTACAGGTTACAAATGTTTTGCAAGCCAACGAATATACCAAAGAATTTTCTAGTTTGGGTTCCATAAAATATTATGATTCTAATCAATTAGCATCCAATAATCCCATAGAAGATACACGAGCCGAGGCTCAATGTTTATTAACTAAAGGTACAGGTGTGAACAAAACTGTATAGTTAATTCTTATTTGCGAAAAAAAATTGTTTCGCTAAAAAGTATTCAAATATTATCTATATACATAGATAATTCAAATATATGCATAATTTTAGCGCCAGGTGTTATAACATTTGCAGATTCTTCAGGGTGACTTTACGTTTATTATTGAATGCATTGCGATTAGTTATTGTTTCCAATCTCTTATTTATAGGTATATTATTGGGAGTTTTCGATGGTCATGGCGGTGGTGCCTGTGCACAAGTGGTATCAAAAAGACTCTTTCGTTATATATCAGCGTGTTTATTACCACCAAAATTACTGCAACAATACTTGAATTCTATTGATTCGACAAAAAATTAGAATTGCTCGAGACCTTCAATGATAAAGTAGAATTTGTAGCCGAGATTAGAGATCTTTATCAGGCGAGCTTTTTAAATTTCGTAAAGGACTTGGTGAAATCGGATAGCAGGAAGGAATTTCAAATGGAGAGGGCTTTGGAGGATGCATTTCTTAGACTAGATAATGACTTATCGAACGAGGCTTTGTTACAACTGAATAGAAAGGATGCAAGAACTCTTGCTGTTGCAATGTCAGGTACAGTGGCTGTTGTAGCACACATTGATGGCCCTCATCTCCATGTTGCTGGCGTAGGCGATAGCAAAGCCGTATTAGGAGTGCTATCAGGTTTGCTGCTTCTTTTTAATCTCTATTCATTTAATATTAACACATTTTCAGTGGGATACTCTTATATTATAAAATAATTATTTCACTTTTTCTAAAATTGCAAGTTGATACAATCCCAGATAGCAAACTGACATCATTTTGACGTTTAATGACATCAGTCTGCTACCTGGAATACAATACACAATAAACTAATGGAATACAATAAACTAACTAAATCTATAACTGGTTTCTATCACAGTTCTCTATCATTAAAATAACAGAAAAAAATTAAAAATGAAAACTTTAAAATATTATTTTTATAACTACATTTATTGTTTGACATAGAAGAAAATTTACTTCTTACAAATTTAAATAGAGATAATATTAAATTATATGTATATATGAGGAATATTAAAATTAAAAAGAGAAATTTTTAATATTTATGTATTTTAAAAAAAATTTAATATCTTTACATATACAAGTAAAATTTAATCTTTTTTATATGATATTTTAATAAGAAATTTTTATTTCTTCACTTGAGATACTTTAAAAAGCAACAATTTATTTTAATTTTTTTTAGTTAATCAGAACAAGTGTTTCTTATAGATTTTCGACTACAAAAAAACAATGTTGCTATTCAAATTGTTCCATCACATTAGGTTTTAAAGTTATCTTGAATTTTAAGATGAGAAGTTATAGTGATTTAAAGGAAAAAAATATATAATATAATAAAATATATAATACATTTTTTCATTAATTAAAAATTTTTATGTTAAAATGTCAAAATTTTATATATATATATATATATATATATATATATATAATGTGACTTATTAAAACAAAAATTAAAAGAAAATATTTTCTTATATGGAATTTAATTGATTCTGAAAAATTGTTCCAATTTTAGAATTGTATTTTTTTCAAATATTTTTAATAAAATTACTATATTTTATTAAAGAAAAGAACGGTACCTAATAACTTTGAAACCGACCATTCGTTTTCATTAATCTCACCAAATATGAAATATATGCCTGCTATTCTATTCATTATATTCTTGACATACACATTTTTATTATTTGCGAGATAATTTTATATTCTTTACTAATGAGAAATTAATGTGTAAACATTTATCTACTTTTATTATTTTAATGACAGTTATAATGATTTATTATATATTATTTCTATAAGTCACCAATTTCTCATCTTAAGGCTCCTCGCTGATGTTAGATTGTGACGTCAGAAGCGAGAAAGCCGAAAATTCTTAGATACTATTTTGAAATAAAAAGATATTTCGAAGAAACAGCACTTCAGATGCATACTTTTAAAATATCTCGAAAATTACCTTTTTCCCTTTATCATCAATCAACAGCTGTATATAAAATGACTGTAATGTTAGTCAAAATGATTGACTATCAAGGGAAAAGAATAATTTTCGAGGTATTTTAAAAGAGTATGCTAAAATCATTTGAAAGTAAATAATAGTTGTCTCAAAGGTTGCCAGTAAAAATAAATAAATAAATAACTGAATAAGTCGAAAGTGTTTCATCAAAATATCTTTTCATTTAAAAATGACATTTAAGAATTTTTAACAAGTTCCAGGTAGCAAATTGACGTCATAATAACATCATTTGACGTCGAATAATATCATTTTAACATTTTTGGTGTCAGTTTGCTACTTGAGGTGCTTTCTCGCCTCTGACGTCACAATCTAACATGGCCATGGCGATGATCCAGAAGCCTTAAAATTTAAAATATCTTTGAAATCTGACGTGTGGAGCAATTTAGAACTTGTTTTCTGTAGCCGATAATCTACAAGCACCACCTACTTTTGATTAGAATTACTTGACAAAAAGTCTTTTCGTCGGCTTGTGTTAAATAAATTTATCGTAGAAAACTGTAAAAATAAAATCAATATGTATAAATAAAATTTGCCTGTTTAGAAACCGACGGATGGTCGGCTAAGATAATGACGGTGGAGCATAACGCCGATAATCGCGCGGAAGTGGAGAGAGTCCTGTCGGAGCATCCATCGAACGAGAAGTCGACCGTGATCAAAATGGAGAGACTGCTCGGCCAATTGGCGCCGCTCCGTTCCCTGGGCGACTTCCGTTACAAGTGGAACAAGGATGTAATGAAGAAAATCGTGCCGTTCTTTGGCAAGGCAGCGATCCCGCCAAACTATCACACCCCGCCGTACCTGACTGCCAGTCCGGACGTCAAGTATCACAGACTTACGCCCAGAGACAAGTTCCTCATAATAGGCAGCGACGGACTGTGGGAACTGATCTCGCCGTTGCAGGCCGTACGTCTGGTGGGAGAGCACATGAGCGGCAAGGTCACCCTCAGCCCACTGAGATTGCCGAGGAAAAATATGAGATTGTCGGATATAAACGAGATGTTACTACAACGTAAGGAGGGCCTGAAGAAGAAGCCCCTGGACAGTAACGCGGCGACGCATTTGCTGAGAAACGCTCTGGGCGGTACGGAATATGGGACGGATCACGTGAAACTGTCGCAATTGTTGACCCTGCCGAGCGAGGTGGTACGAATATTTCGCGACGACATCACAATCACAATCGTTTATATGGACTCGGAATTTCTGAGGCACTGTCCTCCCTGAAAGTATCAATATATAGAATTTTTTTAAGACAGGAAATGCGTTACCGCATCGTCCTGACCGGCTCTTGAGGGAGTTAGCCAGGGTGTGGGGGACTCTCGGTCTTAACCCGAAGGCCAAGACCGCATACCGCCCTAAAACTTCTATAGCCCCTGGCCGTTAACGGGATTGTCTCTAGAAACCAGGAACCGCTCGTGCATAACTTCTGATGAATATATATAATTGCCAAATTCCCCATTTTTTAAAATTATATTAATTAGTATACAGAGTTTGTTATTTATTCTTAGTTAACAATAAAAACAATTTACATGAAAACACCAGTTTGAATATTGGCGATATACATATGTATATATGTAACACTCTCTCGGTGTATTACATGATACTCATTATGCTCTATTTATTTGTGTTCTTCAATGTTAGCGATTTCCTTAAATTATATCTAACCACGCCACATTCAATTCTCGCAAGCGATATTATTAAAATTGGAATAATACAAGAGCAGCTAAAAATCATAATCAAAGGTGTGATAAAGAAATAACTAAAATCTATATATAAACCTATATAAATGTTTTTTTTTTACACGATTATGTTGTTAGGTTGTATATATCAGAGTGATTATATAGTAAAGCATTAAACGCAAGGTTTGTCATATACCTCATCATTTTTCTATTTTGCATTTTTGTGATAAAAAATAATCTATCTCTTCCATTTTATATAAAGTCTAAGACTTTTCATCTGAAAATATATATATATATGATTTATTTCTTAATTTATGTACTATTTTCGCCAAGTAAATAAACGAACGAGTTTTATAAGTTTATACAATGCCAGATTGTATTCGTTTCGCGCTTGAAAAGAGGACTAAGAAGATAGAAAAAAAGAAACTCGTTTTCAAGTAATTATTTATATAGACGTTTAAATCAAATGTTATTGTAAGAGGAATAAGGCGAGCGTGTACACTAAGGACATTTTAATTGAGTTATAAATCAATTTATACTTATAATTACGCGAAAGCCCAAAGACATCTCAACCTTCTTGACCAAAATCTTCTTTGAATTTTTCTAGCTTTGCCAAATCTTCTTCATTCACGGTAGGACGGGTCGTTGCTAGCGATTTTAACATGTCTTTCTAAAATGACAATATCACGTTATCATATTAAAATATTTCCTTTGTAAGTGTATAGGATACAGGGTTAAAACTTAAAATATGAATTTAAGACTTTTCAAAATAAGTAAAAGGAGTTTTGACGAATTATAATAAAATGAAAAATAAAATTTGTAGTAAATAAAATAATTTACATTAATTTATTTGTTTACTATAACCTGATGATAATTTCATAACCTTATATTTTATATTCAAAATGTGTAGATGCTATTTCTTGAACAAAGTATTTAAATATCTTTGGGAGAACTAATTTTAATTTGAAGTCTTAAGTTTCAACGTTTAACTTTTATAATTTTTAATAAACAAAAATTGAAAAAAAATGTAAACAAAAATATATATGAACCATCTTGTAGTAGAAATAGAGGAAGATAAATAAACAAAAATTTTTAAATATTAAATTGTTCCTCCTTGAAGTGAGCTGAAATGTTCACGAACCGTTAAAATAAAACAAAAAGTCTACGCAATTCAAACCCGAGAAACAATTTTAATATTCACACCGCGAAAGGCTGTAATATCAATTTTTTTTACCAAACTTACCATAGTAACTGGTGGCTCGAACAACTTGTCGCCTTCCACTTCCATCCAATTCATTTCTATGGCGGCTGGATCACCAGGGGAGCACGGAGTAAGTAAATCATTGACAATAATGGAAGGATCCTTGGGCGACGGTCCTGTGACGCGTTTGAAATGCGTAGCCGTTTGCACTTGCCGGATAGGTTGCATCAGAGCGTCTCGTACAATGATGCTTATATCGGCTCCGGAGTAACCGTCCGTGGATGCTGCTAATTTCTTGTAATCGTCTTCCGTTAAACAATGCGATGTGTTACCCAAGTGGAGCTTGAACATAGCAGCACGTGCTTGTTTTTCAGGCAGCGGAATATAAATCCTCTTTTCGAATCTTCGCCTGATCGCGGAATCCAAAACCCAAGGTATATTGGTGGCTCCCAGGACAAGTATATTTTCATTATGGTTTCCTACACCTTTTTTTAAGGATAGAAAAAATTTATCAGATTTACGTTTATTTACTTCGACTAATAAAATATTAATTATTAATATTAATAGCTTTTTCATCAATTTATAATGATTAAATATTTAATTTTTATTAATATTAATATTTAAAAAATACTAATAAAAAATTAAATATTTAAAAAAATATTCATCCTTTGAACATACCTTGCATCTGAACTAGAAATTCTGTTTTTATCCTCCTTGCAGATTCGGACTCGTTGTCCGAACGCGACGAGCACAGCGAATCTATCTCGTCAATGAATATAATACTACGTTCCTTTTGTCGTGCTAGTTCGAACAAATTTTTTACAAGCTTCTCCGACTCTCCTAGCCATTTACTCACTAAATCTGACGACGATGCGGAGAAGAAGGTAGCTTGATTGGCTTCCGTTGCCACGGCCTTTGCCAAATATGATTTACCGGTACCCGGTGGCTGATGGAAAATGCAATTAAAAATTAAATATATCTATCTGAATGCAATTAAGTCGTATATCAAATCAATTTCATCAAATATACGTACTCCAAATAATAGAATACCTTTCCAAGGTATGCGTCTTCCGGTAAAGAGATGAGGAAAGTGCATCGGCAGGATAACAGCCTCTTTCAGAGCCTCTATGGCTCCGTCAAGGCCGATAACGTCGCTCCATTTAACATTTGTGTTCTCATTTATTATGACGCCTTCCAACTTGCTCTGCAATTTTTCTTCTCCGGATCGCTATCAGTGTCGCTATCACCGCTCTCGCTCTTCTTATCTTCGTTCTTCGCGTTCTTATCTTCCCCAGCTTTAATTGGCTTTTTCTTACTCTTCTTCAAGTAAGCTTTCAATTTTTCCGCCCTCTCTAAATACTGCATACACTTTGTTCTTATACTCTCCTTCACTTTATCTCCATGCGTCTCGTCTGAAATTCAAAATATTTCATAAAAACGTCAAATGTCATGTAAAATATTATACAATTATAAAGTAAAATATAATTATAATAAAAAAAATATATATATGTATATAGTTGTTAAAAATATCAGTTGTGCAACTTACTAAAATTACTTCATTATTTAATAATAATGATTGTAACTTTATTATCCTACAATCATTGTTATTAAATGATAAAATAATTTTAACTTTCCAATTAATAAGCCTAAAATTAATATAGTTTAAAAAAAATATTCGTGAAAAATTGTTAAAAACATCAGTTACCGCAACTTACTAAAATTATTTCATTAAATAATAACAATGATTGTAGGGTAACTGTGCAAACCTATAATTATTATTAAATGATAAAATAATTTTAACTTTCCAATTAGTAAGCCTAAAATTCAATTAATACAGTTAAAAATATTTGTGAAAAATTGTTAAAAACATCAATTGCACAACTTACTAAAATTACTTCATTATTTAATAATGATATAATTGTAAGGTAACTCTGCAACCCCTACAATTATTGTTATTAAATGATAAAATAATTTAAATTTTCTAATTAATAAGCCTAAAATTAATTCTCATTATTACATTTGATTGAGTGTAAAAAGTATTCAACGCCATGCTCATATAATCTGAGAGCTTCCTCATAGTTCTTATTACGATCCTCCTCTGTAGCCTTTGTCACCAGGTCTATGGCTTTCTATAAAAATCATACAACGGGTAAGAATGTTATATCAGTGGTATATATTTATATATATGGATTCATTTACCTGCAATATTGCTGAAGCCATTATTCGCACTTTTGCTCAGCAAAAAGTTAAATATACACAGTACAGACTTATTCCATACCTGTTGATCTCTGAAACGATTAAATAATACTCGGAATCAAACATTACTTATCGATGATATCACAGCTGACAAATACGTCATTTTTTGAAAACATCATCCCGAAGAATATATTGACATTATTTGACAATTAATGAAATTTTGGTTTTTTCTTCAATTCTTCTTTTTTGGTTATGCAATAAAACTCGATAAAATCATATCGAGTCGTTTTTTTTGTTTTTTCGACGAAATACAGGAATATAAACGTTGCAGGATTCTCGCAAAATTTTGTACAAACCTAATCTTAATGCATGCGTTTTATAGAGAATACAATTTGATTCTTCCTAGATTAACGTTATTATCATAAAATTCAGGATATACTTCCACACATTCATTACCATTTTGACCTCTACTTTGAATGCCACTGCACAAATATTTGCTTTTTAGAGATCAATGCGTCCTATTACTCGCTTTTTATTATTCTTCTTCGATTAATGATGGCACCACAAGGGCCGACCCGCACGGCCACGTCTTTAAAGACCTGATGACGTATATTCGTAAGGCCTCTTGCACAATGCCAGACAACAAACAAGAATAAGAAATAGAAAATGTTAACCAATCGGAAAAGGAAATAGATATTATTCTCTGTTCCTATTGGTGAATATTTTCTATTTTTTTATTTTTATTGCCTGTTGCTTAGCATTGTGGAAGAGGCTGAAGGTCTGATTCACAATGAGCGATTTAAGCCGAAACTTGAAATTGATCAATCAATTCATTTCAAAAATTAAAGAGATTGTTAAGGGTCGGCAGGCGACATGGTGGAGACGCCTATCGGCCGGCCGGGAATTAGAGATTCTTATATTCCAGATATTAGCGAAACTACTGAATGAATCTTATTAAATTTATGATATTCTTAATCAGTAAGCTCAAATGCAGTCCGCCAAAGAGTTATTTATTGAAAAAAAGATGAAAATAAAATTTATAATATAACTTGGGGGAATGCGCAGCTAGTAACGGGTAAGGTTGGGTTAGCCAGGAGTCCGTATTTTATTTATTATAAATTTTTCAGAGCAAAAATGCAAAATCCGACTCTTTGGCGGACTACTTTATTATATCAAGAATATATTAAAAAAAAAAAAACCAAAGTTATGTCACTTATTTTATGAAATATCTGGACGATAAGATTCTCACTAGATTCATAAGGAGCAGGGGAAATTTCCGTGGTAACATACTAGATTTGTTCACGTCGCATGCCCCAACATGCTCCTTCTTACTCCAATGCGCTCGTATTGGTGCGCTCCTCGAATTGGACCAATACGAGCTCATTGAAGTAAAAAAGAGCAAGTTAGGGCATGCGACGCGAACAAACCTATACTGACAGCTAACAGCTTGACAAGGAGAGACTATCATTCTGTCCTTGTCTCTCTTACATCGCATATGTAGTAACATCCATGTAGACACAAACACTAATGCGTTGAACGAATGCGATTATTGGGAGATATCAGCAAGAACCGGTTTTCGTATTATCATTGTTTCTCTGTATATGTATATTATATGTAAAAGAACAATAAGAATAGCAATAATTCTTGCCTAACATTATCTTCCAATTATCGTTTCGTGTACGCAATATATATTTCACATTATGCATCTGTAACAAATAATCGAATGATTTATTTAAATATTTGCATATAATCTATATAAATCTATATAATAAATAAAATGTGTAATAAATTATCGAATGATTTATTTAAATGCATATAATCTATGTAAATAAAATATGTACAAATAAAATAATATTTATGCAAATATTATTTTATTTGTGTACATATTTTATTTATATACCCAAACAACACCAAGTCCAAAATTGGCGCGTAAGATATCTTTATAAGATGTCTTTTTGATATCATATCATAAGATAGCTGTCTTAAAGATTTCTTAATGCTATCTTATGCGTCAATTTTAGACTTGGTGCTGTCTGGGTAGATAATATGCAAATTAATATGTTTATATATATGCACACACATAGATATGACAATATAGCGTTATCGTGATTTTTTCGATTATTAAAGTTATATTGTATAATCTCTCTCTTATCTCTTTCTCTCTGCTACATAAATACTATTATAACGTAAAAGAACTTACGAGTAACGTATGATGGCTCAATGCAATAATATTCAATCACGTAAAAAACTTGAGTTCAAATATATCAATATCAATTTTTTTACAATATATTAGAATATAGAAAAAATTATAGAAGTATAAGGCGATAAACTTGAAAATTTTTAAATATTGAAAATATTTTAATCATTTTTACAATTACATACATATATATATATATATATATATATATATATAAATGCAAAATAAGTCCGTAAATAAATTTATCAAGTAATAAATCCGTTGCATGCTTGCAGCTACATATGCACACACAAATAGCTGGTATGTTGATTTTTATTAAAAATTTATTTTCTGTATTATTTTGCATTTATATAGTGTGTATGTGGGTGTGTGTGTGTGTGTGTGTGTGTGTGTGTGTGCGCGCGCGCGCGTGTAGTAAAAATATTTTCAATATATTTATAAAATTTTTATTGCCGAAATATATTTTTTTATCATTTCTCTGTATTCCAATATATTATTAAAAAATTGATATTGATATATTTGAACTCTAATAATTTACTGGGTGATACATACTGAACATCCTTTGCATTGATCAATATTACTCGACATAAGTTCTTTTATGTTATAAGTATTTATGGAGCAAATTATACAATAACATCAATAATAGAAAGAAATCAAGAATAACCAACGCATATTCGTCAATCTATGATTGCTATACAAGCTAATAATAATTTATATTCGTTCTCTTATTCTTGTCTCTCGAAAAAGTATAAGCAATAAATTATCAAATCTAACAAGTACCCGTGTCTAACATTGTAGACTAATTTACTTTCAATTATGCTACTGTTATTATTTATCATTAGACAATTATAAAACATATATATATATATATATATATATATATAGCACTACAAATTATATATGTATATGTTTTATAATTTATTTTATATTTTATTATTTGACAAGTTAAATCTCTCCGAATCATAATTTGCGCTTACATCTTAAAGACGAAATGCTGTAACTCTCTGATATTCCAATCTGTATTTTTGAAAAGGACCACATCCCGTATGGTCGAAATGTTAAAATAAATATATATACAACTTTAATTTGAGGCCAGTGTAGTCAGACCAAATCTATAACCTCTGTTTTATAATTGTCTAATGATAAATAATAACAGTAGCATATATAATTGAGAGTAAATTAGTATATTTTATATATATATATATTTATATATAAATAATATATCCACATATGTGCATAAGCATATATAAAATTTACAAAAATGGGTGCTTATTAGTCTTGCTACGTTACTGCTTTCTGCTACGGAAGGCCAGAAAGCATTTTTAGGCGGCATCTCGCGTATACCGGCACGGTAGAGGAACAAGGAAAACACGTGATTATCGGTCCTTGTCTCTCTTACGTGCGTCCGCGTGAGCGATGCAGTGGTGTATGTACGTGTACAGACATACACCACTACATAAAACCCGAGAATTGGTTTCTCGGCGTTGGCAACACTGAAACCGGAGTTTCGCGTTGTCACCGCACGAGGTCTCCAATATCAATTCGGAGTTTGCCTGGGTACTGCCACCCTTAATAGACAGATCGCCAAAGGTCTGGATGAAGGAGAGAACAGCATTTCTCACTGATTTCAGCGCCATATCGTAGTAGCGGTCAATGCAGTAACTATTAATACGTTCCCAAGATAAGAGCGTCTCATGCTCATGAACTCGTCCGGCGGCATGTACGAGATTTATCTTTTCGTAGCGTTCGCGTATTTCGGAAAGGACAGAATTTTATGATGTTATAAATAAATAAATAAATAAAATATTAACCTGACCTATTATAATTATTTTTAATAAATGTTTTATTATTATTATCATCTAAGTCTAAGTCGTTTAATTAATTTTTAGTTTTTTAATAATTAATTTAATTTATTCTAATCATTTAATATGTGAAAAAATACTAATACGTATACGTTTTATAATGAATTAATATATTTCGAGAGTCGAATTTATATTTTTAATAATATAAAAGTGTTCAAAAATTATATTTGACTTTTAATTTTAATTATTTTAGCAAAGAGTTCCGAAATCTCTTACACACATAATAGAGATTTTGTTCATCCATATAATTTGCAATTAAGTATATATGTTAATTATTAATTTTAATAAAATACAAAATTAAAATTAAAGGTCAAATATAATTTTTGAACATAAATATATTTAATTCGTTATAAACGTATACCCGTGATAGTATTTTTCTCGTACAAAAATAACTAGAACAAATTAAATTACTCATAAAAAAATTAAAAAATAATTAAATAATTTATATTATATATGATAATAATAAAACATTTTATAAAAAAAACAGATTCAATAATATAATATAACATGTACTTATATTTATTGAATCTGTTTTTTAATAAAATGTTTTATAAGCTTAGAAAACTTGACTTTGACGTAACTAGCAAATTTTATTTAATTATTTCACGACGGTTTGACGTAATAAAATGTTTTATTATTATTATATAAAATATAAGTTTAAATTCTTTAATTAATTTTTAATCTTTTATGATTAATTTAATTTACTCTAATTATTTTTGTACGAGAAAAATACTATCATGGGTATACGTTTTATAATTAATTTAATATATTTGTGTTTAAAAATTATATTTGACCTTTAATTTTAATTTTATTTTATTAAAATTAATAATTAACATATATACTTAATTGCGAATTATATGGATGAAAAAAATCCCCATTATGTGTGTAAGAGATTTCGGAACTCTTTGCTATAAAATAATTAAAATTAAAAGTCAAATATAATTTTTGAACACTTTTATATTATTAAGAATATATAATTCGGTTCCCGAAATATATTAATTCATTATAAAACGTATACGTGATATTATTTTTCTCATATAAAAATGACTAGAATAAATTAAATTAATTATTAAAAAACTAAAAAGTAATTAAACGACTTAGACTTAGATGATAATAATAATGAAACATTTTATTAAAAAAAGATTCAATAACTAGTAGGTCAGGTTATAATTTTTTATTTATTTATTTATAACATTATGAGCTATTAAGCTCATCATCTCGTTCGCTCTCTGTCTTGCTTTCATTCGGCAAGTCACAAACGATATATGATACTCGTATGTTCCTACTTCAACTCTCGAGAATCTGAAACAAACGAAACTCGTGTCCAATATACAGGGTGTCCGGTAACTAACAGACCAATGATTACAAATGGATTCTTTGGTCAATTTGGG